TTACTTTTTTTTACATCTTATGTTTATGAAGATTTTTTTTCTTCAAATAATCGATCATAGATATTTTTTTATAAAACTTTTAACAATATCATGAAATTCATAACATGACGTCACAAAGTATATCGGTGTTTAGATATTCTAAAAATAACCGTGCAATATGTTTTTTGCTGTGCAATATGATTTTTACTATCCGTCGTTTTCTCTCTACATTCGAAAATATAGTTTAACATGTGACTATCTCTGAACGAATCAAATTAATTAAGAAATACGAATTAATAATATTTTATTTTGTCAGTTATTTTTAAATCTTCAGAAAAGATATCAGGACTGGGTAAGGAGGCATATAATTGTACGTTCTAAAGAGACCATGGACAACGATTCATTCTCATGATTGTCCCCTGAGGTATGGATAGTCATAATTACATACCGGTCATCAGCAGATTTTTTAAACAGCCCAGTCAGACTTAAGTTTAACGGGGGTGGTAAAGGGTAATTTTCGTGCGTGTTTGCCGGTTTTTTTTGGTTTCTTTTTTAATTGACGATCAACGTGTTTTTACTTTTTTTTATTTTTACGCTCGGATGTGCAAGACGGGTGCCTAGTTCAAAGTGTTCCCCCAACTTAATTATACGTGCTTCGAGATTAAAAGTGCTTATTTTCCATGTTTCGAGATTTAAAGTGTTTGCTTTCCGTGCTTGGTAAAATTAAAAGACTGTCGTTTTGGAAGTTAATGAAAAGAAATCAGAAATAATTTGATGATTTTCCTTATAGATTTCGGGACTTCAAACGTATATATTATATACTTGCCAGTTAAAGGTTTCCAACCTTTGATATGCGTTCGTTATAGTACTTTTTTTCACGTTCATTGACGAAATTATTTCACGTTCACCGTGAAATTGTTATTCCTTCTTTGTATTCGACGTTTTTTTCCCGTGCAAGTACCACCCTTTACCACCCTTTTAACCTAGACTCTCTTAACTAACTAGTAACGGATTTTATTTTTAATTTAATTTAATCAAGCTCAACCCACTACACATTAGAAAATCCAAATTCCTAAGCCAACATGCAGTACTCTAATCAATATTTTTTTTTTCAAAAGTTGACTTGTTACTCATGAAAATAAGATTTCAAGTCCCAGGAAATTGGGAGAATGCAGGATTTTGCACCATTTACCCCAGAGCTTCTGGGGGCCTTAAGACCCCAGACCCCCTGCCGTTTTACATTCTCCTCCGGCATTGAGTACACATCATATTGGCCTAGCTACGCCCCTGGATGCTTACAACAAAAATACTCTATCTATTAATTGATGAGGTGTACATATTTCATGTTAAATATATCACTGTGAGAACAGATAGCTATAATAAGGTGATTAATTATAAATTAAATAAATATCTTCCAAGAGATTGATGTGCGTTATGATATTTCTATATTTAACATGGGAATAGTATACTACCAACTTACATGACATACTATGTCCAGACTTCAGATTGGACATATTCCGGAAATCAGGTTGACAGATACTGAGATAGTTCATAAATTATCCTCCGGAGGCAAAATGCAGTCGATTAATTGCCAAACTGTCGTGAACCTTTGACCAAGTGACATAACAAAATCTTTACCCATGGAGCATTCTCAAACCTTGAGGACTAAAGGTCTTGTTTATGCCTTAAAGTATTTTTGCGATGGCATTATCAGTTTGTTTTCGACTAATGAGTCTGATTATCCCTTTGGTATCTTTCGCCTTTCTATTATTAGCTTTTGTAGTAAAGCATATGAACATATAGCGGAATAATGGATTTATCTATTTTTGGAATGTTAAAACTCTATGGACGTTTTTTGATATAAAATTACACACTGTTGGTGGTCCTTTCGATTCGATTGACGGTTATTTACTTTTCTACTCTCTACACTACATTTCCACATAATCTTATCAGTTCTTTGACAAATTTTCTGGACAAATAAAAACTATCTTTTGTAATGAAAAAGGTATATATATACTATATATACTTACTAGATCTATGATGATTATTATTGATAGCTATCTATCTGATAGAAAACAAAGTGTCAGATTATGTGTACGTTTTAGTTCTTGGACAAAAAATATATAAAGAAGTCCCATAAGGATCCCTTCTGGGACCATGCAGTATTATTTAACTTTTTACTTAATTATTTTATTAATTTTGTAAAGGAAGGTGGTCTCTTTAATTATGCTGGTGATAATACATTGTCATACTCAAGACTAGACTTAGATAAACTGATTAAAACTCTGGAGAAGGAAAGTCCAGAACTTTTAAATACAAATTGGTTTTCGGACAATCAGATGGAAGCGAAGTCAGAAAAATTTCAGGTTATTGCCTTTAGAAGAATACACATAATCAAAATTTAAAATTTAATTTGGATTGGAATGAAACTGAGTGTTAAAATATGAAGCCAAATTTATGGGTGTAGCAATTGATTATTAACTTAATTAAACATTGTTACTCATATTTCTGTTGTATATAAGAAAGCATCAAAGCAACTGAATGCATTGAAATGTATTGGGAAACAATTATCAACATTGGAAGAAGTATCTATTATTCAATTAGTATTTCGAGTTTTAATTATTGTCCGATAGTTTGGCATTGTTGTGGAGAAAATAATACTAACAAAATGTGGAAAAATACATTAACTTTTTGCGCTTTATCTCTGATGAATATAAAAGTACTTATGAAAATTTACTTATAAAATCAGGTTTACCATTATTAAGAATTAAAAGATTAAGAAATATGATTTTAGAAATCTTTAAGATTTTACATAAACAATGTCCATTATATCTTCACGAAAATGTACAACTAAAGTAGTTGGTTTCATTATCCACATGCACTTAGTCCTGAAAATATATACATATCTAAAGCCATGATTATAAGTACTGATTTTACTTTTCGTAACGTTCTGAATATTTGAAACCCACTTCTTAAAGAAAACACAAAGCACAAAAATACTATTAAGACATGGATGTGCGCAAATGTAATGCGTCCGTATTTCTATGGGCACCAATTACGCCCCTTTAAGGGCATACGATACAGTAGCCAATTTTCTTCATATGTTTTGTGTTTTTTAATTTGCATTGGGTAATGTATAAAAGTAAGGAGATATACTATCTTGCCGACGCGACAACTATATCCATTTAAAACAAAAGGAAAAGGGTGTGAAGAACAGCAGGTCTCCGAATGATATTCACCAATGAGCAAACACAATCCTGTGAGGTAAACTATAAAAAGCCTGGGATGCGGTAGTTTAAAAGAGAAAATCGCCGAGATTTACTAAAACAATGAAAAACAAATAATAAGACGGACAACAAACAACGACAACTGAACAATAGGCTATTGTTAGGGACACAAAAAGTATGTACCTGGATTTAACATGCCTTCGAGTGTTCAATTTCATCCTTCGCGGCCACTTTACCTTGGACAGGGGTATAATATGTACAATTATGAATGCTTATGATCCTACAAGCTGTCGATACTGTTTATTTATATTTTGGCATTGCACAAGGTCATTTTGTTCTCAGACTGTTTACGACGTCTTTACACTAAATCCGTCGGATGTGTACTGATTAGTCTGGGAGAACCTGATTTATTTATTAGCTGTAATTGCATGGCTTTGAACTAGCTTCCCGAAGCTGCGATTATCGGTGATTTGTATCAATTGTTTTTTATGTAAGTTGTTTTTTTTGTGCTATGTGCCGATCTATTGAGTCGAGTCATTTGCAACTGATTTTTACAGTTTGTTCATATGTTGTGCTGTTACGCCAGTGTCCCGGGTTAGGCGCTCACAAACATGTTTAACAACATAACATTCTTTATGTGCCTATCTTTATGATCATGTATCTTTTTCATAAACTGAATTGTTATGTTTAGGCCGCTAGTGTTCTCGTTTGAATTGCTTCACATTTTTCTTGGCGATGTCTGTTATTGCTGCCTGAATATACGGTATGGGTTTTTCACATTGTTAAATGACGTACAGTGACCTAATATATTACTTCCACGTCATTTGAACTCTGATGGATAGTTGTCTCATTGGCAATCTTACCAATCTCTTTTTTTTTATATTGAATAAGAAGAGTACATAGCATAAAACAAATCCAAAAGACACAAAGTACAGATCACAACTGTCACCTATTTAGTCGCCACTTAATAAATTGTCTTCACATTCTACACCGTGTTTAAAACACAATTGCAAGTTTTTGATTAAATGGAGTTAAGACAGCCATGTTTTGTAAAAATAAATGTTTGAGAAGCAAGAAATGATTTATCTATATGTTCACTAAAATTATCAATATTCAATCAAAACGATAGATGTCTGCTGCTCACGTTTTCAACCTTTCCTTAACATTGTGTTACTCCTCTGACTTTTTCCTTGGATATGCATTTAAAAAATCCCAACTAACTTCTTGATTTCTTAATACTGTTTTCGTATTTGACTATGACTAAATTGAGATGATGGGAACAGGTCAACGAGACAGTAACCTAATGACAAAAATAACCAAAAAGACATTTAAAGGGCAACATACAGTGTTACAATAGACTGGTGTAATTATAATATGTCAAGCTCAAAATCGTTCCGAGTTTGTAAAAATTGTGAATGAATTAAACAGAAACAACCTAAGTTGTGGTATCAACATCCAATTCTCTAAAAAACGAAAAACGTCAGTTATGGAATAAGACATCTACTGACGATATCATTGACTTGGAAATTAGAACCCCGCACGGGCAGGTGCGTTCGACTCTAATCTTAATTGACTAGAATTGTCAGTTTTCCTGCCGAAGGTCGGGGGTTATCTCCGGGAACTCCGGCTTCCTCCATCAATAAAAACTGACATCCACGAACTAGCAAATTGTGCTAAACACCAACAATTCAATCAATCAATCACTGACTTGGAAAAGGGCGGGGTTAAACTCATTTTGTGATTAATAATAATTAAAAATTAGCTCGTATTAAATAATCAAAAATACACATAGAATTATTCTGAAGATCTTGATATTTCTGGTATATTTTTCATGCAGTTAAACATCAATTTCTCCTGATGCATTTCATATGAAAAATCAAGTGACAATTTTATCGATAAATATTCTATTTTTTACAAATGCTGATTTCTCAACAACAAAAAATCACCCAGACCTCTTTTTTCACCGAGACCTCTCATTATTGTTAATATAATTTAGATGCATCACATACATTGTCTATTGAAAAAGACGTTAGTTAATGTTGTTAATTTGACTTTAGCAGCTAACAATACATTTAAGTTAACAGAACTCTTGTAATGGGTCACGGTGTATCTGGAATATTCGCAAAAGTCAAATTAATTTCCGGAAACCTATATTCATGTCTCACAGAACTATAGTTTGCGACAAATAAAAACTGTTGAATGCTGGTAAGTTTATCCAAACATAATGCAAAAGTGTTCAGTCAGTAACCAGTCAAATTAAAAATACCATGGACCTGTTCCTTTAGATTCTTTCATATATGTTTTGACTGTACTGTCAAGTGTCTGGTCAGTATTTTCTCCTTTTCCGATATTTTGGGCATCAATGTGGGTATATTCATCAAAGGCAGATGAAGAAAGCGGCGGCGGTGCTCCTCTTAAAAACGTGTCCTGTTGTTTAAAATTTGGATTATTTTGTGTCTGTACAAACGGAGTACCGTCAGCTATGAATTCGCTTAATTTAGGAATTTTATTCAAAATATGTGAAGAGCTAAATTCGGGTAATACTTCTGTCTGCTGAAAGGAAGACGGCGTATTAAATTGGCTAAGTCTGCGTTTATTTTTAATTTTAGTCCTCTGGTCCGGAGAAAAATCGGCGATATTCTGTTGTTTAAATAATTGTGAATTATCGGCGATACTTTGTTGTTGAAATAGTTGTGAATCATCGGCGATACTTTGTTGTTGAGAAAATTGTGAATTATCGGCGATATTTTGTTGTTGAGAAAATAGTGAATCGAATAGCGAAGGTTTCTGGGACATTGCCTTTGGCTCAGTCGATAAACGTTCGAACTGATTAAACTCATTTTTGTTAAAAAGGTCAGTCAAATTTTGATCGAAATTAGGATGATCTGTTAGAGAGTTGATTCGCTGTATTCCAATAACTGGATCGACTGAGTTAAATTCTCCAAAACTTGGTCTCCATCTTGGTTTTCGTCTAGGCTTCTTTGCAGTCACCACGATATCTTGAGCTTTTATCATATCAGCCTTTATCATGTCAGCTTGTAATCTGTCTGCCCTCATACTGTCTGTTTTGATATAGTTTGCCTGAAGTTCTTTTGCCCTCAACAGTCCATCTGGAGGTTGTCGTCGTCGTCTTTTTGTTTTACGACGACGGGTCACCGACCCAGCACCATCTGCATCCATCATAGCTTGGACTGCGTTACGTTTCAGTAGGACGTGATTTCTCCCACCATTCGGATAAAAGTCCTTCAAGTTGTTGAATTTTTCAATAATAGTTGTTTCCTCCGGACTTGCACTAAGCTTAATTTTCCTTAGTAGTTTTTCTTCATAATGCCTCGGTAGGCTGTTTAACTTCTGGCTATCGGCTTCTGAAATGACAAAAAGGGAATATCAACCTTCAGCAAAGAAATAAAATGTAATCATTTATATAGATTTCATGTTTAAAAAGATATGAAGTTATTACATACAAATTATCTTTCATAAAAACTTGCCATACATTGATTTTGTTGTTATCAAACCAGTCAGAAAAATTCAAACGAAATAAAATGAATCCACAGTATGTAGATAAGAAAAGAAGACGTGGAGCATATCATGCTCGTGACAGTAACCCAGCAACATAGCGATACAAGATAATTCTCTATGAATTGCTTTTGAATAATTGAGTTTGTTAATAAACAAAAAGCCCCGTTCACATGATGACAATAAATTTGCCTATGTATGTAAATGCAAATGTGTAATGGGTTCACGTGTTTTATATGATAAAGGTGTATTTACGTTAAATGCACATAGGCAATAAAAGAATTAATATTTTTTCGAAGATTGAACTTGAAAGTCGACCCATAAAGTAGGGGCTTAATCCGTCTGTGTCTTGTTCCAAAAATTTCGTAAAGATTTCTTACTGTATATAAGACCCAAAGGGACCCAAAGGCCCGGGATGAGAACTTGTGAAACGTTATAAAAGTGAAAACCGACGTTATGATTTATGCTGAAAACATATATATAATGAGAAAAATTATTGCAGACAGCAACCTACAAAACACAATAGATAATAGTCTCATGGTTTTGGACAGCACATAAAGTATGTGTGGCGGGATAAAACTCAAACTGGTAAAAGTTGTTTTGGGCGTTCAACTTGGGACAGTCTTGTAACAGTTGAAAATAGGCTACACTCAATTCGGTGTGTATGTCAACGGTAAATGTGTTTCTCTAATAGAAGTTCCTCTGGAAACTGTTATAAAGACTGCTATGGTATATGTTCCTGTTTTAACAACTGTTCCATGTCCTTTTTTTCACTGGACAAATTCTGATATATTTCTTCCAGTGGAAATGATATTCAAGAATATTTCTTCCATTTTGAGCCAATATTTTAAAAGAGCATTTATCCAATTATGTGCAGCACTGAATGTTTCGCTGCAAATCCCATTTAAGACTATGCATTTTACTCTAGAGACCAGATTTCTGAATCTCATTTTAGTCTGTTAGTAAATATGTACTTGCTCGGACACAAAGACCTCGAAATAGAACCTCAGGGGTTAACTGGATGTAGTTAAACCCTTGCTAAAGTGGGTGTCCGATTAGTTGTGCGAGATGTATACGCAGTCACGTTCGATCGGAGTGGGGATGTTAAATCCAAGGTATCGCGTAGAGTGAGTGCCACACTCTCCACGCGTTACACAGACTAATTTCACTCACATGTATTCAACGTGAATTCAAATTCATGTGAATCTTACGTGAAGTTCACGTGAATTTCACCCCAAACGAGCTTATAGAAAAATAAGCTTATTCAAATAACATTTAAATTTCAAATTTAATCAAAATAATAAAAAATACCATTTTTTTTACTGTTCACGTGAGAATTTTCATGTGAGATTCATGTGGATCTGAACATCTTCATGTGAGTTTCATGTATAAGCTCGTTTGAGGTGAATTTCACGTGAAATTTTTTCACGTGAATTACACGTGAGATTCATGTAAAATTCACGAGAGCAAAATTTTCCTGTGTAAATCACTCTTGCAATAACTCTTATATCGGTCTGCAGGTGGCCAGTTACAGGTCTATTTTTTTTATTTGTAAATTTCTAGAGTTATAATTTCCTTTCCGGCTAAACTAATTTCGGTCTATTTATAGTTACTATTATCGCAAACGTAGCGACTTGAAAATCAGAGGTATATTTCTTTCATGTGTGACCATACATTGAAGTAAGGTGACCTTGCATTTCAATATAAAGTATTTGATTTATGTTGCGGAACCAAAATGACTTACAGACGGACGCAGGACACATATCAACATTTTAATGAACTAACAGAAGGACGGTCGATCGGGTCTATGATAACTATAATATCCTCGCTTCTTCGTAGCTTTGGATATACATATATTTTGCGTTCATAAGCACAAAATACAGTGTAAATTTACATGTGTAAAATTTGACTTTTGCATCAAGTGAGTGGTTCGGTCATGCAAATTTACCATCATTGTAATCTGACTCAAAACGCGCGCATTTGCGTTCATATATGAACATAAGAAGATGTTGTATGAATGCCAGTAAGATGTACTCTCCACCAGGGTTCAAATGGCGTATAGAAGTTAACGTTAAATATGAAAATAAGAAGATGTGGTATGATTGCCAATGAGACAACTCTTCACCAGAGACCAAATGAAATAGAAGTTTACAATTTTTGCACGTTTCACACCCATATACATTTCTACATTTATATTGTTATAAGCATACGACACTGTTTCCAATCTATTTTAGATGGAGGACGATATTTCGGTCCTTTCTTAAGAAAAGTTCTGACCTCACGGTCTTCGACGATGTTGAGGTCTCCTGTAAGGACATGTCGTCAGGTCATTAAAGACGCTCTGTCTGTCGACTGTAAAAATTGGTGTAAACGTGAAAAATCTGATAAAAAATCTTTAGATAGTTATTTGAATAGAATTATGAATACTGTTAATATTCGTATATCTCATTTTGAAAACAATTCTGAAATTAGTAATAGGGTCCATGATATTCCCATTTCTAGAATAAAAAATAAACTCCAAGTACTCGCAAAGCGGTTTGTGTTCGTACCGGCAGAAAAAGCAGCAAATAATGTAGTGGTGGTGTGACGCATATTCTACACGGAAGTTCTCCAAAACGAAATTACAAATTCTTCTACTTTCAGGTCCGTACGCTCCACAGAGAGTCAAATTGTAAACAAGCATATCACTGGCACTACCCAGCTTAAAGCCTCTTCCGAACACCCTACTATGTACTGGTTACCTAAATTGCACAAAAAAACATTTAAATTCCGTTTCATCTCCGCGTCTAGTAAGTGTTCTACTACCAATCTATCAGTGCTTCTAACTACCTCCCTTACTACTATCAAAGAACTTGTTATTAACTTTTGTTATAAAGCTTATGAAAATAATGGTATTAATTATTTTTGGAGTGTTAAAAATTCTTTAGAGGTTTTAGATAAAATACATGCTTCTGACGGTCCTTTTAATTCTGTTGACAGTTATGATTTTTCTACTCTCTATACTACACTTCCACACAATCTTATCAAGAAAAAGTTTTCATATTTAATTAAATGGTCTTTTGAAAAAATTTTCTCCTGGACAACATATATGTACGTATCGGCGATAAAGTGTATCGACAAGTAGTAGGTATACCTAAGGGCACTAACTGCGCCCCTTTAATAGCAGATTTATTCCTGTATTGCTATGAATCTCAGTTTATGACCAAACTCAGTAAAGACACGTCATTGTTACATTTGGTTGATACATTCAACAATATCTTCCGTTATCTGGATGATATTTTTTCGTTAAATAATCCAGAGTTCTCTAAATATACTACCGAAATTTACCCAAAAGAACTTACTTTATCTAAATCTAACATAAACAGCAGTAGTTGTCCTTTTCTAGATTTGGACATTTCAATCTCTAAAGGAAAACTCCATCCTTAATTACGACAAAAGAGACGACTTTTCATTCCCTATTGTTAATTTTCCTTTTTTAGACGGCGATGTTCCTTTGGCTCCATCATACGGTGTTTATATATCCCAACTCGTTATGCCCGTGTGTGTAGTGATGGCATAGATTCTAACGAACGTAATCAATGCATCACTGGTAAATTATTAAGTCAGGGATTTCGTTACCATAAATTACGTAAAACTTTTACTAAATTATTTCATAGATACAAAGATTTGATTTGTAAATTTGGCTGTACATGTAGAAAACTGATTAAAAACGGTATTTCACATCCTAAATTTTACGGTAATATTGTACTTAAAGACCCATTGGTGGCCTTCGGCTGTTGTCTGCTCTATGGTCGGGTTGTTGTCTCTTTGACACATTCCCCATTTCCATTCTCAATTTTATTAAAGCGTGGAAATCACTATGTGATCCGTGTAAACTCATGGAACCTTTAAACAAACTTATTAGTAAAGGTTATCTTACCAATGTTGTAATTAGATCTTTGAATATAGTTTACATTGGCACTAATATCGATATTTTGGTCATCAGCAAATTAAAACATAACTAAATTTGTATTCTTTTCAAACGGGATGCATAAAGACAGACCCAGGTTCATTTTGATTTATAAAGAGGTTAACTCCTAACTATCCTACTGCCTGTCGATACATTTATTTTTGGCATTGCACAAGTCATGTCTTCTTTGACTGTCCATGGCGTTAAAATACTAAATCCCTGGGATGTGTTTTAGTTGATTTTATTCTCTGATGCATGATTTTTTAGTATTAATTGTTTCTGGCTTTTAACTGAGCTGTCAGTAACTGCGAGTACTCTCAAATCGTACTTTCTTGTTAATTTGACCTGTTGATACTAATTGTAATGCTTTTTTGTTACTTAATGTTTACTTATTCAGGGTAATATCTGGTCTATATACCAGCTTTGATAAGTGTTTGGTATCACTAATAATTTTCACTTCTTCGTACTATGAACATCAAAATTATTTATTTTGTAAAATATTCCCCTTCTCCATTTTGAACTGTACACGTATACCTAACAACAAAATTATTTTCATTTACCTGTGTTTATAGTAATTGCAAATGGCTGATATTTTTGTTCAAGCATATTGTTTTTCTTAAATTGTTTAACATTTCACAGCGGTATAACATGTTACTTTAATTATTTTTCCCTTAGTTTATTTATTTTGTATTTACATTGTATGATAAATCAAATTTATTTGTTCAGTGTATGTTCACTGGTGTTAATATGTCTTTTGATTGAGTTAAGCCATTTCAAATGATATTGTATAGTGTGTCTTTCTATGTTGTGATGTTACAATATTGTTTCAGATAAGGGTGAAGGTTTGGTACCATTTAAACGTTTAAACCCGCTGCAATTGTTTGCACCTGTCCTAAGTCA